ATGTTCTTGCTGAAAATCCCAGGTCTTTGATATAAGATCTTACCACTCGTTGGAGTGGGTGGTCGTTACAAATTAATTTAATTTTCGGATTGCCACTGCTGTAGCGGCGTAAAGGTAAGTAAATACAGGGGAGTTCGGATATAGCAAACCCGTTTTTTCAACACATTTTGAAATATACTCAAAAAGTCTTTCGGATACGGTGAACTAAATTTTGTCAACATTAAGATACATTTTCCGATTTTAATGAACTTTTTCGGGGTTCCCCCGATAATTCCCCGGAGAAAGGGTAAATTTCATAAGAACAGTTGTTTTTTTATTGTTTTGATCTCAGTTGTGATTTAGATTTTGTAGAGAATATTGATGACAGACCTTCAAATGGAGAAGCAAAAGTGATACTCGTCGTGAAATGAATTTGCCTGAAGCATTACAGGAAAAAAAGTTGTAAAAGACTCAGAAAATCAGCTCACGAAGGCGTCAATAAGGGACTTTTACAGTGGTTTACAAAAAAATGAAAAGAAAATGTTCCCAAGGAAGAGATTTTGTGTGTTCGAGAAGTAGGACTGGACGTTTTAAGAACAGAAATTGTATCCCTGGAGGAAAAATTGATAAGACATTGAAATTCCAAGGAGAAGGTGTGCAGATGGAAAATTGTCCGAGGTTCGAATAACAGTTCTGGTTACTGCAAACATGAGAAAACTGTTTGTTATCGGTAACTCAGTAAACCCAAGATGTGTTTTAAAAACAAGACCCTACGAGTCAAGTATCGGTCAAAGAGCAAAGCGTGGATGACATCTGACTTATTTACCGATGGGCTGATCCAATGGGATACATAATTGAAGAAGAACAGAAAAATTATTCTTCAAATCCCACTGGTTTTTAGGCCACCCAATACCAGTTCAAAGCTGCAGCCCATGGATCAAAGCCTAATCCATTTCCTGAAGATTTTGCTGATAAAGACGATAGAAGCAACTGTTGAAGGACAAGAGCTTATTGGGTGTTGTAAATTTTATACTGTAAACTGTACTGTAAACTTTAAGCCCTAGATTTTTTGCATAATTATCAAAGACGTATTCCTTCTGTAGGTTCAAGCTTTGTCCAACCCCAATTAATTGCTTTTTGGTATAATCTTCGTGAAAATAAATGTAGTTTTGGATTCTTGCTTTTGTGTCACATGAGGAAGGGGTTTTAGTCAACTGTCTGTGATAACTTGCATTGTCCATTACAATGACGTTATTAGGATTAATGTTTGGAACTAGTTTGTTTTTACGGACCACAATTTTACTTGAATTTAAATTCCTAAACTTTAGGTAATAATCTTGTTGCATTGTATGTTAATGGCCACCCTTGGATAATCCGATTCAAAAGCAATTGGGCATTCTCTTATATCTACGAACAGACCATACCCCAACGTAGTTTAGTTTAGTTGACGTTGTTTACGGTTACCATGGAGACGTTTACCACGTGAATTAATTCTTTTTAGGCATTACAAAACCCGCTTGTTTAATGCCGCCGAAAATATCTAGAAAAAACACGAAAAGTAAAACTTGGAATTTTTCAACTTTTTGGGGTCAAGAAAATAACGGCAACGCCGCCAGACGACCCTTTTCTCATTAACACACAACAATAACGATAACAACGGGTGGAAAACGCCGCGTAACGTTCCCTCGTTAACCGTCCATTATTATTATTTTTTTTATGCCTCCGCGAGAAGCCAGTTTCTCCGATGAGTCGGCTTAAAGGACCCAGCGAGAACAACCTGTCCCTCGAACGAGGCTCGATCCATCATCGAGATTAACATCGGACGTCGCGGACCGCCGAAAGAGCTTCGGAATGGGACGGCCGTACGAACGCGAGTCGTTATACTTCGACCAGAAATATAGCGCTTTTATAACTTGAAAAATCGGCACTATCGCTGCTGTCGTCACCTAGTTCAATTATTCGTTACGGTCCATTCCAAGCAAAACCTAATTAATGCAGAATAAACATCTGTTGCGATGGGTTTTACCGCGGTCCTGCTTAAAACGTCAAAGCAATAAGCGCACTATATTTTTGGTCCTATTATGTACACACATACACAGAATCTCTATTCAAATTTCAAACGTAGCCTGTTCGATCCGCCTAGATCATGTCTAGATCATTGTGCGAAATGAGTGGACAGGTGCAAATAAAATAAAAATCGTGATTTGTTTTTAATTTAATTTTCATAAGAATATGTATATCCCGTTTTTTTTATAACAATTACAAAAGATTTTAAAGCCACAATTTACAAATTTTCGTTGCCGAATACGCATTCCTTAATATAGCAAATATCGACATCGATAATATCTTTTCACTCGAACGTTTCGGCGGCTTTCGTGGATACGATTTCATAGTATTCTGTGCCGATTCGACAGAAGGTAAAGGGTCAGCTTTTAACTTAGCTATAAGGTAAGGGTCAGCTTTTAACTTAGCTATAAGGTGAACGGCTGCTTTTAAATTGGCTATAAGGTGAAGGTCAGCTTTTAACTTAGCTATAAGGCAAGGGTCAGCTTTTAACTTAGCTATAAGGTGAACGGCTGCTTTTAAATTGGCTATAAGGTGAAGGTCAGCTTTTAACTTAGCTATAAGGCAAGGGTCAGCTTTTAACTTAGCTATAAGGTGAACGGCTGCTTTTAAATTGGCTATAAGGTGAAGATCATCTTTTAACTTAGCTATAAGGCAAGGGTCAGCTTTTAACTTAGCTATAAGGTGAACGGCTGCTTTTAAATTGGCTATACGGTGAAGGTCAGCTTTTAACTTAGCTATAAGGTAAAGGTTAACTTTTAACTTAGCTATAACGGCGGGCAACGCAAACCAAGGGACCTGTGCATTTTCTCGAACAATTTACAATAGTCTCGCGATCAAATTAACCTCCAGAAACGCACGTCAGCGGACCGCCATTTTGATTTGTCACGACGAAACAACAGACCGCTTTTGATCTCCGCGCGTGTTGACGAACGTGTAATTTTTAACGGTTCATTTTAACGTAAACGGTACCGAGTGTTTACCTTAGCCGTGGCTCAATCTTCAAAGCGATATCGCACCTTGTTATTAAGTCGACGATGTTATTTATTGGATGATCGACTTGGGAAAAAAAACAACCTCAAAAAAATTACAGGAGTTATGTAACCTTTTTCTCTGGTTTTCAACATTACGAGCGGATAAGCCAAACCACACGTATAATTAAACTGGAACAAGAAATGTTCAGATTTTCACAGTTTTTTATTGATTTATGACTGCTGTTTCGGCATATCACAATATACCGACATCTGTACAGAATGTTTTCTAATTGAACGTCAACGATTCTTGGGTCCATTTTAAAAAGAAAACTTTATATGAACACATGTCCTAAACGTCTTCACTTTTCAGATGCGATGCGGTGAAGTTGTTTGTTTAATATCGGTAATACCAGTATAGATATTAAAATCTGGGTGGAATTTTAAAATATTTACGAATTTGTTGGTTTTGGTTGGTTGGTGGTTGGTTTTCGATAGCTATGGCCGTCTTCCCTTTATCTGCACGTGTAAATATTATGATATTTTCAGAAGCTTTGTTTTTGATAGATTTCACTGACTGATTTCAGTGACATTTGAGAAATTGGTGTTTGTTGTTATCTATTAATTGAGAGTTTATTATATTCGCTAATAAATGTTTGTTTAAATTAGAATCGTTAATGTCCTTAATTGCTAATTCACAGTCGATCCCTGAACAGTATAATTCTCTATTAATGTTCGAGTGCAAAAACATATATATGAATGATATAAATTCAATTCAATTTCGCGAAAAATCTGAACTATTAGTTCTTATTTATTTTATTAGTTATTTTGTTATTAGTTTACTATAAGTACCTATCAATCAATACATATAATGATAAATTAACGTGGCTTCCTTGTAGGTAGCTCGCTGTTTATTCCAAAATTAACGAAGTAGCTAAACACATTGAAGAGGTTGGCGACCACGCACCAAAGTTCTCGAGGACGCACGTGCGTTGAGGCGGATCTGTTGCTCGGACGCGAAGTCACATCTGACCGAGACAGTGATAAATATCTCCGAAATAAGGTCCGACCGGGAACGAGATAGGCATCGATCGACAATGGGAAACGTGTCAAAAATATCTCTTGGAAACGGTTTCTCGTCCTACCTGGACGTTCTCTTTCGACCCGCCTAGTCATGAGAAACGTAAACATTCTTGTGTTCGGTGTCGTAGAAATTACACGGTCGAACGCGATGATCGAGCTCTGAATTCCGAACTTTTTTCATCTATCACAACGCGAAAAAATACCGAAAAGGTGTAGTCCGTCTCAATCACGGCAATAAAACTCGGGTCGGTGGGTAGACTGTTGCGGAAGAACCCTCAAATGTTTTGGTAATAATATAATAATAATAAATCCATTTTTCTGGATAAAAACATAAGTAACCGTATTGTATCGTACATCGTTGAATTCGCAATGAAAAGCACAACCTAATACTGTGTGTACTTTTTTTCCGTCCCATAAGAAAAATCAAAGTTGATGGTGGTTCCATGGAATCGAAATATATATATATATATATATATATATATATATATATATATATATATATATATATATATATATATATATATATATATATATATATATATATATATATATATATATATATATATATATATATATATATATATATATATATATATATATATATATATATATATATATATATATATATATATATATATATATATTTATACGTTTCGCCAAAATCTCACTTGGCATCTTCAATGCTCGCGTTATATATAATAATTATATATATTTATTATAAAGTATTTAATAAAAAAAACGCTACCGCTATAGATTAAAAAATGTGTTATTGGTATTTATAAGACTTTCGAAAGCCCGAAAAAAATATTTTCCCTACCTTTTCCCAAGAACCTATTGAACGACCCTCGTATTTTGTTATTTGAAAAACACCTAAATAATATTAAAAAAAAAAATCCAGCTTACCACGCGTTGGCGGCCATGCCGAAGTAATACAGCAGCAGGAAAATGAAGGCGCAGTTGACGTTGCGCAGGCCGTCTTCGCTGCTGGGCGTCGCGTCGTCGACGCAGTGGACGCCCGCGCGTCCAGCGAAAGACCGCAGCGTCCAACCGGCGCCCACCAGGAAATAGCACAGCGACAAGATCGCCAACGGCAAAGCGCGGATCTTGCCGCCTCCCAACGTGAGCGTCAGGGCCGCCCCCAGGCTTGATGCGAGACACGCCAGCGCCCAGACGGTGATCCAGACCTGTCCACCAAGAAACAACCAGCTGTTAGTATCGGGAACGTGTATTTAGAAACGACGCACAGATGGGTTATAAATAAATAAAATAAAAACGCTTTGCATGTAAAAAAAAAACATAAATTCACTTACAATAGGGAAACTTTTACAATAAATATTATAAATAAATAAATAATTCCATAAACAACTTGCAATAGGGCAAATTATAAAACAAATATCACAAATAAATAAAAACGCCTTACATTAAAGAAATATCATAAAAAAAATAAATAAATAACAATGTCTTGCATGTAAAAAAAATCAAAAGTTAACTTAAATAGGGTAAATTTTACAATAAATGTCATAAATAAATAAATAAAAACGCCTTGCACGTAAAAAATGCATAAACCAACTTACAATAGGGCAAATTGTACAACAAATATCATAAATAAATAAATAAAAAAAACTAAATAAATAAAATAAAAAATAAATAAATCAGCTTGCAATAGGGCAAATTTTACAATAAAGATCATAAATAAATAATTCAATTAAACAATGATACAAATAGCATAGCTTGAGAAGCCACAAATTATCGTGAAAATAATCGGCCAAATTAGAATTTTGCTCTGTTAGAAATATAAGAACTTCATCTTTTAAAGTTAATAATCGTTTCAAACTTCGACCTCTTGATAACCACCTAACTTCAGCATGTAGCAATAAACTTGTATAATATGCTACTTCCATATTTTCATTTATAGGCCCTACATAACAGTTTTGCATTGCCACTTTTTTCAAAAAATAGTTATAATAAAACTACAATAGTATTTTGTATGATTTTTATTTGTATTTATATTTGTACGTAGTGTGTATACTAATTTTAAAATTTTATTTATAATGATTGAAAAGTATCAGGTCTTTGCCCCCCCCCTACCCATGGGGGTCGCGACCCGCAGTTTAAGAAGCCCTGGTACAGTGGATCGTTTTATTTGGCACACGGTGTACAAATAACCCGAATTTATAATTATAAGGAAAAAAAATTGTTAATTTTTGCCTTGCACCACGCACTCCTACGGAATGATCCACTTTGTAAATGTAAAAAATACCCCTTTGTGGGACGACCGTAGCGATTGGCGTTTATGGCCCCCGTAAATGTTTTTAATAACAAATTTATTGATTTACAACCGCACACATCGCTCGGAATTATTTACGACGTATTATATTACTGGGTACAAATAAGGAGTCGTTCATGCGCCCGAAACGGAAACGATAGTAAAACGAGAAAGGAATATCAAGCGAGACGTGCATTTTTATCGGCCTTTACGAATATCGCCTTCATTACGACTACTTAGGCTTTAGATTCGGTACTTTGCCGCGCTCGTGACCGGCCTTTTAACCGTCAGGTTTTATTTTTAACGTCGCGTCTTTCCAAATTGACGGAAACGAACGGACTAACATCGTCAATGTTGTTACAAATACTACCAATTTACAAATCTTCTACGTCGGTTGTTTATAAATGAAATTTGCTGACGTTCGGCCAATCATCCTGTTGGCTTCTTCAGAGCTCAACTGAAACTGCACAGTAAAAAATGCAGGTACAGTAGAACCTTGATTATCCGGGCCAGCTTTCGCAGGACAATCGAAAACGCGTATAATCCAAAGACCTTTTTCATATTTATTTAGATAAATACATGTGCCAAACAAATAGAACGAACGTAATACAAGATACAACATACACGTAACACAAAATAAAATATAGTGTATACAATACGTGCACAATAAATTATGTTTGCAAAAATCACACTTTATAATTTATTTCATTTTTCCAAAGTGAAGTACATGAATGTCATATAAATTCCAGAAAGACAATTTTAACATGCTTTAATACGAGTTAAAATTGAGTAAAAATTATTTCTGCTTTTTAGAGCGTTTTTTATCTCCATACAAATGGTTAGAAACGAATAATGTGAAATTCCAGTTGCAAAGGCGATTAATTTAACCGTAGCCGCGCATAGAAAAGATCAGCATGTTTAACATGACATAACCTAAAATCCGTACCTCTGCGATTCTCTTCTCCGTGTCGTCGAAGACGCCGCCTCCTTGATCGCACGCGCGGACGCAACCACCTGTCGGTTTCGAACCCCGGGAGCCACAGTCAAATTTGCTGACGGCGGGATCGACCGGCGCCCGGATGTCGATCTTGTCTTTTGGTCCCTCCATGCACATATGGTCGTGGTTATTCTCGACCGGGAAACGGGAACAGTTCAAAGCGTCGGCCCACGGGAATCCGAACTCTTGCAGCACTGGGTAACACCGCGAACGAACGTTTTCGCACAAACCGCGACACGGCCCAATCGGATTCGCCACCTTTTCCGTACACATCGGCACGTAAACCGAGCACAAAAACAGCTTGAGATGCCGACTGCATCCGTACTGGATCAACGGCGAGAATGTCTGCAGATTATAGTCGGCTTCTTGTTGGATATCGTTGCCTCCTAGATTCGGCATCCCCGTCATGTTGTAGCCGAGGTCGGAGCACATTTTCACGCGTATCGGCTCGCAGGTACGGAACATTGGCTCGGACGCGACCAGAGTTCCGCCGAAGAGCAAAGCGCGAATCGCCAAACTCGCGAGAAACATGGCGCCCGCGCGCATCTACCGCAACCGACAGAATCTCGAACCCGAATGACGCGTCCGCGCACGGCCAACTACCCGTCGCGCGAATGCCCGCCGGAAACGGCCGAACGACGCCGATTATGCAAATCGGACGACTCGATGCTCGTTTAGGTAAAAAGCAAAGTTATTCGCCGCAGAATTTTTAACGCGCCGCGGTAACGAGAATCTCTCGACGTGCCGGGCGACTGGATTTTTCGAAAGCGTTCCGGGCTTTTTATCCGGGGCGTTTGTGTTTGCTTTCGCGGCGGAGCGCCGTTTATTACGCCCGATTAATAAATTGCCGCGGCGACGACGCGTTTGTACCGGCTGTCCGTCGAAAACGGGATTTTGGCGGAATCGACGCTCGGTTTTGCCCAGTGGGCCGGAAAAAATTTGTTAAAAACGAAGATATGTCGCAAAAGTCTTAACTTTTGCTAAAGTTTGCCAAAAATAAAATATATAATAGAAAGTTATTAAAAGTAAAAATAAGAAGAATTTCAACCTGAATTTGAATGCCTCATTTTGTTAATCTCCATGGCTTCCAATAAATTTAATTTTCTACTTTTTGCGGCTGTACGTAAAGTATCAAAATTGTGGTCAAAAATGTGTTTTTCTGTGTTTAAGTGTGTAGCATAATTATTATTATTATTATTATTATTAAGTACTTTTCTGAATTTGGACAGCGTGTATATATTACTATTTACAATAGGCGTGAACCTTTGCTTTTAAACAAGTCGAAATAATTTCCGCAAAGGCCGCGCCAGTGGGTTCGCCCTGTATACCGAGGCGCTTAACCAATTAGTGTTAAAAATTCCGAATCTCTCGCGCCTATAGTTTGTTCTTTATACTCGTCGGTAGTCGACACGTAATTTAGAGTGTCTACCGGGTGTCCGAGCAAACATTTGCGGCGTGCCGGTCGTCTTTTTCTATTCTGTAGCGGCCGAGTGAAATTGTCGCTTAGTTTGAACGGCGTTAAACCGAAGATAAATGTTTACTCTATGCAACTCACTTAATTACCTAATAACAAAAATAATTAATTAAAGTTTATGAGCTAACCAAACGAGGTAACAAATTTGAATAAATAAATCTATAACAAAAAGTTGACTAAAAACTGTTCGTTAATTCGGTCCATAAAGTTTTGTAAAAAATGTTCCTCTTAAAATATATATATATATATATATATATATATATATATATATATATATATATATATATATATATATACAGGGTTTTTCACTTAAAACTCCGCACGCCAATAAGTCCAAAACGAAAAGAAATATTTAATTTATGTAAAAAGTAGTCAAAGTGTGGGGTCAAGTAGATATTTCCTAAAGTTTAAAAAATTCGACGCCTGCAAAGAGCTGGGCGTCGCGACGCGTCGAAAAATTATTCGATTGCAGAGACTTTGGAAATACGCGCATACAAAAGTACATATTATTTAAAAACTTTTTTGTTATTTACTCAAACTTATTTACTTTACCCGTTTCTAAGTTATACCGATTTAAAGTAAACATTTCTTGATTAATACAAAATGTGATTAACGCTTATTTTTACAAGTATGCCATGAATGTTAGTTACTATGGCAACCATTGTTATCGCAGTTGTTTTAAGTTCAATTACAAACAATAGATTTCAACTATTTTAGTATGATTTTATTTATTATTTTTTATCGATTTAGTTCTGATAACATGATAAATAAATGAAAAAACAGTAAAATACCTACAAGTTAATAACCAAAATTATTATTGCAATTAACTACATAATAAGATATTTCAAAAATTTTGTTCAAAATTGTGTCCATCTGCTCGAACACAACTATCAAAAACTTTTAACAGATGAGCTTGGGTCACTTGTAGGAGAGTCCTTCTTGTGATAGCGGCACACGCTGCACTAATTTTGTTAATGAGATCAGCCATATCTTAGATAGGTTCTTCATAGATAACGTTTTTTAGGTAGCCCCAAAGAAAATAATCTGGTGGTGTAATGTCCGGGGACATCGCCGGCCACCTTACCGGTCCATTAGTACCAAACCATCTATTGGGATATTCTCGGTTCAAATACCTCGTTACTATTTGGGCATTATGTGCAGGCGCTCCATCCTGCTGTAGCCACATATTCATTCTAGTGTCAAGAGGCACTTCTTCTAATAATTCCGGAAGTGTAGTTTGAAGAAATCTTAAATAGCGATCTGCATTTAAAGTTCCTTCGTAAAAGTAAGGTCCAATAAGGAATCCATTTAATATGCCGCACCAAACATTGATACTAAAAATTCGTTGGTTACCTCTTTCTGTAATCCACCGAGGATGGTTTTCGGACCAAAAACGACAGTTGTGTCTATTAACGATTCCATTATTTTGAAATCGACTTTCGTCGCTCCATAAAATTTTCGAGAGAAAATTTGCATCTTGGCTATACAAATCGGACAATGTCGCTAAGAAATATATTCTTCTAGCATAATCGCCTGGTTCTAGTTTATGAACTAGTTTACTTTTGTACGGGTGAAAAGAGTTTCTATGTAGAATTCTCCACGAAGAAATTATATTAACACCGGTTTTTTCTTTTATCTCTGATAGGGATATCTTGGGGTTATTATCAACCTGCTGAATTACAGCAGCAGTATTTTCATCATTTGTAGCCGTCCTGTTCCTATCTCTTTTAGGTTTCATGAAGCTGCCATATTCTCTTAAGTTTTTACATAAACTTGAAAAGGTTTTTGCATCGGGGACTCTTCTATGCGGATAACGCCGTGCGTAAACTCTTTTTGCTTCTCTACAATTGCATCTGCATTCTCCAAACACCAGTAACATGTCTACTTTTTCCTCATTGCTAAATTGCACCATTTTCACATAATAATTCTTAGTTTTTTTTAAACCGAACAAATTTGGATATTTCTTGTGACAAAATGTGACAATTTTTTGATACAGCAATAACAACTTACGTTTGTAATTGCACTTAAAACAACTGCGATAACAATGGTTGCCATAGTAACTAACATTCATGGCATACTTGTAAAAATAAGCGTAAATCACATTTTTTATTAATCAAGAAATGTTTACTTTAAATCGGTATAACTTAGAAACGGGTAAAGTAAATAAGTTTGAGTAAATAACAAAAAAGTTTTTAAATAATATGTACTTTTGTATGCGCGTATTTCCAAAGTCCCTGCAATCGAATAATTTTTCGACGCGTCGCGACGCCCAGCTCTTTGCAGGCGTCGAATTTTTTAAACTTTAGGAAATATCTACTTGACCCCACACTTTGACTACTTTTTACATAAATTAAATATTTCTTTTCGTTTTGGACTTATTGGCGTGCGGAGTTTTAAGTGAAAAACCCTGTATATATATATATATATATATATATATATATATATATATATATATATATATATATATATATATATATATATATATATATATATATATATATATATATATATATATATATATATATATATATATATATATATATATATATATATATATATATATAATATTATATTTTTAAAAGTAGTATCGTGTTTTTTATTAAAATTTAAATATAAGATAAATTACAAACGATACATTATTTTTTATTCTAGAATTGACATCTGAATAAAAATATAGGGCGTTCCATTTGAAAATCTTGAGATTTTGTTAATTGAATTCGCCAAAACGGCACCACCTATTTGGGACACCCTGTATAAGCTGAGGCGCATCTTGTACGAAACTTTTCATTTGGCACACGGTGTACGTTATAAATGGAGTTTACGGTATTTCCATTTTTTCTAGTACTAAGTTCAGGATTTTGATCAATAGAATTTAAAGCGGCATCCGCAATTTTTGAAGTTCTTAAATGGTTAGGTACTCGCCCTCAAAGTACTAACTTTCTATGTGCATTTGAAAAAGTTTGCTCATCTGGTATGAATGACTCTATTGATATAATCGAATAGAAGTTTCCTACCGTATCTAGAACATCCCAAAATGGCCAGGCGGCTTATATCAAAAAGCCAATGAGAAGAGAAAAGAAAAGAATCAAAATAAATAATTACTAAAAGTTCAGATTTTCACGAAATTATATATTTTGACATGACAATTGTTTCGACAACACCGTGTCTTTTTCAAATTCACATTTACAAACTACCTGCTACTATATATACCGAAAAATGACCATAAAACCTTAATTAAAGTTGTTGTGAGTATTTAAATTATCCATAAAAATCTCTGCTAACAAAGGACTAAGTGGGTTTTGCATAATCAAACCTTCCTTAGAGATGAAAATCTGTCCATTAAATTCAAAATAATTTTGGTCTAAAGATAGTATTAAGCAATCTAATAAATCTACTAAATCTATCACATCCATAGGAAATAAGTTGTGTACATCAAAAGACAATAATGTTGCGTTAGAAAGGATTTCGATATCTTTAAATTTGTTGATTAATTCAAAAGAATTTGCAAATTTTGCTTTAAAATCTGTGTGGAGCTTCAAAATATTTACTAATTTTGTTGAGAGTTTAACTGGACACAACTGGCCTAATGGGCATATCCTGTTTCTGCAAATTAACCAAAATTAACTTCGGCGGTTGTGAAAGAATCACAAATTTATGATAAAAACAACAGCCAAAAACATTATTCTCGAACCAAAGACATTTTCTCTGTAACAATTGAAAAAATACCGTAATTTTGGTTTAGAAAGTCAATTTTATTTGTATTAACGTTTGAAATAATGTTGTAAACTCTCGGAGCTGCCATACATCCCGGTGGATAAATAAAACATCAAACCAAAAACTCAAAGGTTAGGTGGCCCAAAGGAACATTGGTGGAAACGGCCGCTATCGCTTTTAGAAATGGTTGCCTCTGGTTCTGTTTCGATCCGAGACAAATTTTTATTTGTTTAGTTTGGTAACGGGGCGGCAGGTTGAAAATTAAAAGGAGAGCAGAACCCCCATAAATTACCGTCTAGATATGCTGCGGTTGTCTACCTGAAGGTATACAGTCAACAGATTGTATTCAGCGATTGTGGAAACACGAATCCTTCGAGACGAGGCGATTTTCTTTTATATATATACCCGGTGTCGCAAACTCGGTACGAGATACAGGGTGATTTAACTTAGGGCATCGTTGAGTTCAGAAATTGAAGTGAAAACTTTTATACCATAGTAAGCTGTGAATTTTCAAATATAGCGATGACATATTAATGTCGAGATATGGTAAAAATGTAAAAAAAAAACATAAAAAAATGTAATGGTGCGACGCAGTGTCGAATGCCTTGGCCAGTAATACACTTTTTTCTTTTTTCTGTCGGACCATGGCGCTAGCTACGTTGATCAACGCATCTTCCGTGTCTTCTCCCTAAATCCAATCTTTTTACTGTCGAATAAGGCATTTTTTTCTAAAAATGTTTTAAT